CCGCCCAGCCCTGAGGCCCGGCCAGCAGCCGCTGGCGCCGGGCTCTGGAGGGGGCAGAGGGCCGGCTGCTGCCCGGGGAGCCGCGGTGCCGCCCCGCCCGCAGCCCCAGTGTGGGGCTCCATTGGCACCCGGCTCGGGGCCACAGGAGCCTGGAGAAGAAGCCGTGCGGCCCAGGGAAGGGAGCAGCGTGTGGGGCGCAGGCTGGTGCCCCTGGGTGCAGCACCGGGCAGGGGCCACAGCTGCCAGCCCCACACACTGAGCACCGGGACCAGGGGGCTTCTCAAAGTTGAGCTAATCCAGGCTGCCCTTACCAGACACTCAGCAAACTTTGATAGCTGCTCCTTCCTAATCAGCTGCTTCAGATTCCTCCTCTTGAGGAACTCGGCCACACGAAGCAGCGTTTCCCGAGAGGCCTGGAGAGCAGCAGAGATGCAGAGATGGCACTGCAGCCCAGGGCACAGGACTCTTGTCTGGGTGACAGGGCCCTGAGGAAGCCGCAGCCTGGGAGGTTTCAGGACAGGAGGAAGCCGATGCCCTTCCCAGGGATGCACCAGCATCACACAAAACCTGACCTTCGCCACATGCTGGTTCTCATCATGGCAGTGGATGAAGAGTGGAAGCAGGCTCTGGTTCAAAATCTTCTCCAGGGGCTTCTTTCCCTCATCCACTACCAAGTCCATCGCCTTGAAGAAGAGATCAAGGGAGAGCAACTGTACATGGCTGTGGTCCTGGAGGAAAAGAAGAGAAAAAGACCTTAATACCAATTCCCCCAGGCTCACCTGGGCAAAGGCCCAGAAATCTGTAAGATACAAAGTTTCTGGGCAGCAGCCAATGCCCGTGTCTGGGGGCACAGAGCCTTACATGGTCAAAGAGCAGCAGGAGTGCCTGAGCCAGCTTTGGGGCAGTGGTGCTGCATATCATGATGTCTTTATTCTTGAGAATACTGATGAACACACGGAGGGCCATGCCAACTACATCTCCATCTGCATCACCCAGCAGCTCCTGAAGGCTTCGAGACAGGCTGCACATTCTTATGGCCTGTGTGGAACACAAGGCTGTGCTGGGAAGCCCTGAACGGCTGCAGTGCCAAGACCGCCCTGGCACTGCAACCCCACCCTGCTGCTGCCAGGCCCAGAGGCCAAAGGGCTGTCCCAAAGCACTCAGGCAGGTGAGGCAGGAGAGCTGGGAGCAGCTGCCTCAGCTCCTGAAGCCCAGCCAGCCCAAGGAGCTGCTTTCCCCAGCACAGCTTCAGCTGCTGCCCTGTCCTCACCATCGAGGGTTCCCTGCTGAGCACCACGAGGCCTCTGAGCGCCAGGCGACGCCTCTGTCTGCACTCACTCTGCAGGTGCCTTGATGTGATCTCAAGGACACTGTCACCGTGTTTAGTCAAGTCCAAGCACTCGAGGACCTGAAAGGCACAGGGCAGTGACAGGGGAGCCGGCCGGCAGGAGCCTGGAACTGGGCAGGGCTGGGCCCAGGCAGCAGCACAGGGCGCGGGCACCGTCCCAGGCAGCTGTGGCTATGCAAGGGGACAGGGCTGGCAGGCAGCTCAGCGAGGTAGTGCTGGCCATCGGGCTCACCTCCACAAGGAATGCCAGGAAGGACAGATCACAGCATGGCTCCTCCCTTCTGAGTGACTTGAGCAGGTCGAGTGCAATATGGGAACAGAAGGGGATCAAGCCACGGAGCATCTCCCTGTCAGGGGAAAACAGCACCAAGACCCTGATGGTGGGGGGGCGGGGGGACAAACCTCTCCCAGGAAAGAATCACAGAGATCTGGCCTTTCCCCAGAATCCCTGGAGGGACCATGGGTGCTTTGGGAAGTGGCTCCTTTTGGGCACCCTCCTCTCAGCCTTTTGCAGTCTGCTTAGCCATCCCTCAGTGACGAGGCCCTCTGGCCAGGACCACAGGGACTGTGTGACACACCCCAGGCACAGGGCACAGATTTCAGAGGCAGTTGGGAGAAGTGAGGCTCACCTGGCCAGCAGACCCACGGCATAGTGCTGGGTGTCAGCACAGAGCAGCGTGTCCCAGCCACGCTTGCGTCCCATTTCCATGACCACACTCTCACACCGCAGTCGGCAGAGCAGAGATTTCATGGCCTGCACTGCAAACCTGTGTGCAGAGCAAAGCCCAGGTCACACTGAGTGCACTGGTGTCAGCCACAAGGGCATGGGAAGGACAGGAGGACTGGCACCTGTTGGGGTTGCTGGGAAGGCGGTGTTGCTCCCGGCATGCTTTCCAGAAGCTGTCAACTTCCACTGGTGGCATCTGCTGGGTGGTGATGACAACATGGAACAGCAGAGCCACAAACAGACGGGCGGAATAAAGCATCATCGCCTCGCAGCACTGTGGCATCTGGACAATCACCCAGAGCACCAGAGTTGCCTGCAAAAGAAGCACACCAAGGCAGTGCTCAGTGCCGAGGTGTCCATGGGACAGGGCCTGAGGGGAGACACAGGGGGAGCAGCAGGCCTGGTGCCCCCTGAGCCTGCCCCTAGCCCAGGTTTCAGCCCAGCGCCTTAGGCAGGGAGAAGACAGAGAGCTCCTGGGGAAGCAAGCTCCAGGTGATCAAAGGCCATGTCCATAAACTCACACTCAAGGGAAAAACGTCCTTGTTGTCTCCATCAGAGGTGCAGGTGCTGCAAAGGGGCCAGTTCTCCATCACACAGAGCAGTGTTGGCAGCACTTTCTCTACTGTTGGTCCCGACGAGCCTATGGTTTGCCACATCATGGCAGCAGCTCTGTGGGATCAGAGCTCTGTGTCAGGGGTGTCTCAGTCACAGAGCCATGCCCTGTGTAGCTGTGGGGACCCAGGTGACAGAGCCCCGGTGCCCTGAGGGGCAGGGAGGGAGCACTGGCAGCAGCATCAGGACACAGAGGGGCCCGAGGCTCCTGGACCTCTCTGCCTGTTGGGCAGAGCCCATTGGACAGGCTGTGCAGGGCCATGGGCCCTAAAGGCTGGTGAGCCCTGAGCTCTCAAGGCACGTGGGCCCCATACCTGTCACACGATGGGGCACAGTGCAGGAGGGCCAGCACCACATCAGCAGGGTGTTCTTCAGCCAGCCTTATAATGTCAATTTGCTGCCTGACATCCACAGTGACATGGGACACCAGACTCTGGTGAATGTTCCTCACAGTAGCTGGCACCTGGAGGAGGCATGGGGAAGACATGGAGTGCTGTCCAAGGCAGCAACTTCCCCAGCTTCCCCCAAGAAGTGCTTCCCTTCCTGTCATGCTCTGCTGGCCTCAAAGGCTGAGGGGGCCCTGTGGATGTGGCGTGAGGGGGCACAGGATCGTGGGAGACCTCCAGTTCCAGTACCTGACTGGGTACCTGCTGCTCAGAAGAAGCAGCTCTCTTCTCAACAACGTCAGAAGAAACACGAGGGTCCTTGAAATAATCCCATATGAGCTCTTGGCTTATAGTGGGAGTGGGTGTCCATGTCCTCTCCCGGTGTCATCATTTTGAATGCCCTCAGTCCCTGCCATGTCAGCCTTTGCCCTGTCAAACTCCACTGCAGCGTCAGACTCTTGTGAGTGCTCAGCTGAATCCGGGCTGACATCAGGCTCTGCCTGGAGCTCGGTCAGCCTGCAGTCAGGCTCAGCTGCGCCCTCAGTTGCTGCTGTGGTGTTCCTTCTACGCCGAATGCGCAGGAATTTGCGGAACCTCTGTGCAGAATGAACAAAGGACAGGGGAGAGAGGCATGTTCCATGGAGTGCTCCAAGCTCCACTGCTGGGCTGAGCAGTGCCAGCAGGCCCAGCCCAGGTGGGGATGGCTGCAGGTACCTGCGCTGCTCTTCGGAAGCGGCCACGGGCAGGCTCCTGCTCTTGTGTCTTTTCCATGGCTGCATCTGGCAAAGAGCAGCCAGAGCTGAGGGGCTGCGGGAGAGGCCGGAGAACACAGCCCAGCCCTGCACTCCCCAGGCAGGGACAGCCCTGGGATGGCTCAGGGGATGGAGCACAGCCACTGCCAGGGGTCAGCCCCAGCCCCTATTCTGTCTTGTCCTTCGGCATGTCCACATGGGACGGGACGGGACGGGACGGGACGGGATGGGATGGGATGGGATGGGATGGGATGGGATGGGATGGGGCAGGGCCCAGCTGACTGCAGCCATCAGCCCTGTGGCCCAGTTCTGCCACTCACCATCCTGCAGTGGCTGGAACTTCTTTGGCTCTTCCGGCTGTTGTGCTAGGGCAGGTCCAGGGTCTGTCTTTCTTTTCCCCCTGAACACTTTGAAGACGCTGAGGAATATGCCCGCCATTACACAATCTTGCCTTGAAGGCACCTTAAAGAGAGATGCCGTGGGAAATCTCTGAGTCAACAAGTCCTGCAGTTGTGCCTTGAAGGCACCTGCGAGAGAGAAGCCCCAGGAAGGCTATAGGACAGCAAGTCCTGCAGTCTGGTCTCGAGGGCTCCTGCCACAATGACTGGAGACTCCTCGTAAATGACTGTGGTCACCAGGTCCCACAGTCTCACCTTGAGGACAGAGGCCAGAAGGATGGGAGATGCCTCAGAAAAGCTCCAGGTCCAAGTACCGGAGTCTGGCCTTGAAGGCACCTGCAAAAGAAAAGTCTTGGGAAGGCCACGGGCCACCAAGTCCCGCAGTCTTGCCCCACAGGCACCTGCAAAAGAAAAGCCTCGGGAAAGCCACAGGCCACCAAGGCCCGCAGTCTTGCCACGAGGTCACCTGTACGAGTAAAGACTTGGAAAAGCTCCGGGTCCGACACAAACGAGTGCGCTGTGCGGGGGCTCCTCACAGCACCGCTCTGCCGCGTCCTGTCCCGTCGCGTGCACTGGGCACTGTGGCATGGCCCTGTCACCGCCAGCTCCTATGTCACCACATGTCACAAAGGGCCCTCTGACACCCTGTCCATTTCCATCCCATGGTGACCATGTGTCACAAAGGGCCTTTGCACACACTGCCACCTGCCCTTGGGCTGCCCCCATCCCCCCCAAAGTGGCCCAGGTTGGAAGGAATCGTTGCCCAAAGTGTCTTAGACAGCCCGACAGGATCTTTAGGAACGCCTCAAACCATCAGCAAACGCTGCCCTGCTCTGCAGGCTCAGGGCAGCAGAAGGAGCCCCCAGGGCTGCCGACGCAGCCGCAGCAGGAAGGGCACGGGGCCTTGCACAGAATCTGCACAGGGGCCTGGCAGCACTGAAATCAGCAGGTGTGGCAGTGTCCCCACCAAGGCAGACCTGCCACCCCAGCCGAGCCCTGGCAGTGCTGGTGCCCTTCTCCTGCCCCAGAGACCTGTGCTCCTGGGGGGCTTCTGTGCCAGAGGGCAGCCAAAGCCCACGTGCATTGGGGGCTGGGCTCCTTCCTGCAGGGGCTGTTGGCAGGAGCTCCTGGAGCAACTGCTGGCAATGCTTAGTCTTGGTCAGATTAATTACATGTGGGAATTATTTTCCCATTGATGTCATTTCCTGCAGCTATAAAACAT